CACCACCATTCTAGACCAGACTTTCTTCGTGCGCCCCTCTTTCAGAGAGGTGCGAATTGGTCTTACTACAGTTAGGACTCCTGTCACGGTTCTGAATATAATCTCACAAAGTGCAATGTGAAACTGATAAACACCAAAGAGTCCAATCCGGCAAATCATTTTGGAAAATCAGATTTTGAATCAAATAATGCCAAAACGGAACTGCTTTGCCAGATTACAGAGTCACCAGCTAAATATTTTATTTTTGGGAAATTTAGGAAATCCTGACTCGTGCCAAAGGCCACATGTCCGTCATCACCAAAGTTGCCTCGACTCGAGAACTTGGGTACGAGAGGGGAAGGTCCTGAAATGAGCACGCCCGCTCGCCCGATCAAAGGATCGGCCTCTATTAAGCATGATATGTTGTTTTATAAACCATGTGTTTTTGTTCTGATTATTAGCTAACTTTACAATGTGATGCACACAGCATACAAGTATAGACTCAATCACGAGAATTGGAACAAAACAACTCATGTTTGTTTTCGAAAATGGTTTGAAAGTGCTACTCGCAAGTAGGCTAAAGCGCGGATTTGCCACCATTAAAAAACATGATTTTGCTACTTCGCAAAGTGGGCTTAAAACTCACAATCATCGAGTTGTTCCAATTCAGGCAATCAAGCCTTCACCCACAGGCATTCAAGCAGTTAAGCAAATAAGCAAATAGCCTCATGGCAAGCATGCTATCATGGCAACACTCACACTCATGCAAGTATGCTAAAGCGTAAAACTTATAGTGTACTCCGAGCCAAAACAAAAGCTAGTTAGAAAACAATGCATGATCCTCACTATACAAAATGCCTAATGCAACACATGCAAAATGCAACTAAATAGGCTCGGCTATCTAAGATGGAATATGAATGCAACAATTTGATACACGTATTCAAATAAGAATTGAAATACGATGCTGTTTTAATGATGCGCCGAGCCCGGTGCATGCAAAACAAATGAATGAATGCAAACATGCAAAGCATAAGGTATGCTAATTAAAACGTGCCCTAAACTAACCATCGAAAGCAGTTAAGTAAAAGGGAGAAAGGCGTGGGGTTGGAAGATATGCACACACACACGCACGCTTGTTACAACATTATGCCCTCTCGAAGGAGGGTCCCAATGAATAAGCTAAGCTACACTAAGCTAAGCTAAGCTAACTAATCTAATTAAACTAATTAGACTAATTATTACAAAACAAATCAAATGAATAACTAGCAAACTAATTACTAATTATTACAACACTTAACTAATTAGCACACTAATTAGTTAAATTACAAAACCAACTAAGCATGCAAAACATGTAAACTAAGCTGCCTCAGCTCTGCCTTGAGTAATGAAGAATGCATGCTCTCGGTTGCTGCCCCGAAATGTCTTCCGGTTTGCTCTTGAGAGGCTCTGTTTGCAGGGTGTCTCCAAGAACTTTTTGCTCTGCCTTACCAATTCCATGCTAAGGAATGCACTAGTGGCCTGCCGGCCATGGGAAACTGCTGCCGGCCACCTGCTGGCCAAGGGTGTGTATTGCTAGCCAAGGATGAAGCAGTGCCGGCCACTGGTGAGGCACTGCCGGCCACTGGTGTGCTGCACTACCATTCTGCAACAAAGCTCAAACCAGAGAAAAATAGAGGGTCTCCCAAGGGTATGTATGTACTGTGCCACTCCTTATCATCTCAAAACATCAAAGGAGAGGCACCATTGGATCCAAAATCATTAATCAACCACTTTGAATGCATGATGGCCAAAGATCCAACTTGTACACTTTTAATAAATGCACACAAACAAGACTCTAGGACCACTACCTTATCATGGGTGATCAAAGGCAATGGAGACAAAGGAGATTGGCTCATTTCATCACTTTGAGTATGAAATGGACCAATCTACCTTGTGTTCAATATAACGTCTAATTGAACACAATGCAATGCAACACAACAATGCTTATCTTAGCATGTTTTACTTGATTCAATTCTTGTTTACACATTTTAAGTTACCAAACCATTCATTAATTGATTTGTCCAAATGTGAAAGTCCTCTAATGGAAGAGAGGTCAATCAAAAGATGACTTAAGACATAAGAGAAACTATGCCTTTGACTAGGAGGAACCCTCAAAAGAGAGTTAAAGCCATTTAAGCACAAGCCTCAATCCCAAGCTTAAACACAACTTGAAGACTAACCAACCCTCAAAACAAATAGAAAAATGAAGAAATGAGGGAGGTGGCAGAATTTCAGTGCTGATATGGCATGAATCACAAAACTCTAACATGCAAACAACTCATGTACAACATATTAGGAGACTTAAGCATCAAAACTAGTGAAGAGCTTTACACTAGGTCCATGCAATATCAAACTCAAATGGCTAAACTAGCTCTGGACAGAGCTTAAAGATGCCAAAACAGTGGCCAAAATGAGCTGAGAGGGTAGCATGAAAAGCAAGAAAAACATGCTCATGTATTGGCCCACAAACAAGGCATAAAACACAACTCTCAAAAGAGATGAAAGAGTGAAATATGTGAGAGTGTGATAGAGTTATAAGCACTGAAATCACATGCTAAATGATGCCAAAACATGCAAACATCACAAGCAAAGCATGCTAAGGGCCTCAAAACACAAAGCTAGTGAAGCTAACTACACTTAGCTACACCATAGCTATACAAAGAAAGTCTCAAAGGACCAAGACCACTCAAAACAAAGTTTAAGCATGTCAAAGCAAGGCCAAAAACATGTTGGAGTGGAGTCAACACATGCTAGAATAATAGGTTAAAACATCAAGTATGTTAATCTAGTAAGCATGATTACACTACAAGTGTAAGAAGCAAGCAAGAAGTGACTCAACCAGCCAAAAACAGAGTTATAACATGTTGAAATAAGGCCAAAAACATGCTTGAACTAAGCCACAAAAAGGTAGAAACACATGCTCATATGTTAGGCCATCAACACATGCAAACAAAACACAAGGAGGGGAGGCCACCTCCTCCTATTTTGGACCTCAAAACCAAGTTTCTACCACTGAAATTCCTCTGGAATTCAGTGGTTAAAGGGCCAAAAGATAATTGTTTTAAAGGCTTTAAAAGATGGCACAAAGCTTAGCAAATAAGCCTCAAAAGAGGGGGGAACACCCCTCGCCCCAAAAGGGCCTCAAACTACCATTTTTAACACTTAAAAATAGAGGTTTTTGTAATCGACAACTAGGCCAAAAATAGCATGCAGCAGCAATGTACAAAAATAAGTTTAAAAGGGGAAACTCCTCACCCTTGAAGCAGAGCAGCAAATCAGGAACAAAGACAAGCCAAAACCAAGCTAAAACCTTCTTCTAAGACTCAAAAAAGATCTCAAGCAACCTCCACACCAAGATGATCAAGTTTGATCAAGAATACACAATCAAAAGTGTAGAGAATTCAAGCTTCAAGGTAATATATTTAGAGAGAGAGAATTCTAGAGAGAAAGAGAGAGAAAAATTTGCTCACAAATTTTTGTAACCCCCTCTATGCAAGAGGGGGGCCTTTATATATAGAGGATGCAAAATCCTCATGAAGAGATCCAGCCATCCACGTGGGTGCAGATGGTCCATCCTGCAAACAGTTGGCTCAAAAATATCAGAAAAATTTATGTTGAAACATTGGTGGCCGGCTGGCCATCAGTGGTGGCCGGCTAGCCATCAGTGATGGCCAGCAGTGGCTTATTGTTGGCCGACAGGCCTCATCAATGGCCGACAGTCCCATTTCATGGCCGGCAGTGCACCAAGAGGAGCATTCTGGAGGGACTGAAGCATGGTCCAAAAATGGGGCAGAAAGGATACAGGGTTTGGAAAGCTCAAACCCATGACGTTTCACCGCGAAATTTGAGTACTCGACGAGCCGCCAAACTTGTCACTAGATGTATCTGCAAGAACATCCAAATCTTGAGGACGGTAAAAAATGGGGTGTCTACAACCATCTTTGCCACCACAGATCCATTACTATCGCTGCTACTGCTGCCACCACTCCACCACCACCTCTTCTCCACTTCCATCGCCACAACCGCCACTACTACACAACCACTTTCGTTACTACTTCACTACCATTGTCACCTCACCACTACTATCACTACTATCACTACTACCACCACCAATCTTCCACCACCGTCATCACCACTCTACCACTGCCACCACTAACTCTCTTCCACCACCACTACCACCACTGCCACCGCCGCCACTTTACCACCACAATCATCACCTTTACACCACCACCGCTACTACTTCACCACCACCATTACCATCACTGCCGCTACTCCACCACCGCCACCCTTGCCACTGCAACACCACCATTACCACCATCACCTCTCCACTACTTCTATCACCACCACCACAACCATTGCCCCACCATTGCCATTACTACCGTTGACGCTACCATTTTTCTTCTACCACCACTGCCTTACTTTACCACTACCGTTGCCGCCACTCCATTTCCAGCGCCGCCGCTCCACTGCCACCACCACTAGCACTCCACCACCACCGAACCCATTTAAAACCCATTATTAAATAGGTGATTTTGAATCGATTTCGTTTGGTTTTGATTTTCGAAAACTATTTTTCAAGCCTCAATCCTTATTTTTGTAATTTTTAGTGAACTTTTTAAATATTTTAATCATTTTTAATTGATTAAAATATTGAAAATTTTCACTAAAAATAAAAAAATACTAATTAAAAACTCAAAAAATAATTTTCAAAAATTGAAATAAATTTTTAATACAAAACCTATTTTGACTCGTTCAAACTTGATCGTTTGCCACATTTGCAAAAAAAAAAAAAACTAACAAATTATTTCCAAAATTCCCCCCCTCCCAATTTTCTTCATCTTCCCTTGCTCACAGTCGCTCATCTATCTCTCTGTCTCTCAGTCGCGCTCATCTCTCTCTAAACAGCGTAGGGCAGCAAAGACGGTGGCATGCAACGGCGTCCAATAGCGGCAGCATCTCTCTCAGTCGCTCATCTCTCTCTCTTTCTCTCTCAACGATGTCTCTTTTTTTCTCTTACGGACGCTCACTCAGTCTCTTTCTCTCTTGCGATCTCCGTCAACGTTACCACGATGGTTTTTCGGCGTGGTGAGTTTCTCTGTCTCGTTCTCTCATTCTCTTTTTCTCTCTCGTTCTCTCTTGTTTTGTATGTGTTTACAAAATTCTCGAGAAACAACAGTGCTGTCCATTTGGGCTTGTTTAGTAGATTTTTTTAAATCCTTTTTAGTTCCTTTAGCTACTCCAGATTCCATAAATTTAGCCTCTTCTCACTCTTTCAAGAATCAACCCAAGTCCCACACCTTTTGGCGGTTTTAGAATTGAAAATTTCTGTAGAGAAAGAGAAGAACTTTCGTTTTTGAACCCTCTCTGTTGCATCAAAAGTTCTTCCCCAACCTGGTACTCCACTTTTCTTCTACTATTTCAACTCATTTTGCTTGGTGCCTATTGGGTTATGTTGATTCTTGGTTCAGGGCTAGTTTGTTGCAATTTTCACTTTTTTTTTTTTTTTTGCCAATAACTTTAATGGGTTTTATTTGGTTTTAAGTCCGTAGGTAAGAAGTAGTGAAATCAATACAATAACTAGTATTTTTGTTGAGAATATGCAATTGTGTGCATTTTGTAAGTGGTTTTTGCACACCCACCATGTGTTTGTGTGTTTGTTTGAAAGAGATAAAAAGTTGCAGTAAACTAGAATTTGGATGTCAAAATATCATTATCAAGTTGATTTTTTTATGACTGAACTACAAATAAACTAAGCACTTTAGATCATTAAATTAGACTAGTAATAGATTTTATGAGACTTGTGAACGAAAAAGAATCTTTCCTCTTTCTCATATTTTCATTGTGGATAAAACACTAGTTTCACACCATATTGAGTTAGACACCTTACTTCTAATTAAATAGGCACACGATTAATTCAAGGGCCATGCTAATGACATCAAGATTGATTAGTTTTTTTTTTTTTTGATATCTTTTTTGCTTATTTTAATTACGGGTCAATGTAGACTATTCACACTTTTGGTTCACGAGCATGATCTTGCCTCTGAAATTCAAAACAAATAATTATGAAGAAATCAATATTAATTTTTTAGAGCATGACCTGAAGTTGTTTAAATAATTATCACCAAGTTTAAATATTATAGTGTCATATTGGTTATTTGTGTTGTGCGACTCATGCTAGATTTGAAGCTGGTTTTATGGTGTGGGGTCTTTGCAAATCTTGTTTGTGAATTATAATTAATTGAATTATTTTATACTTGTTGGTCTTAATAAAACTTTTTGTATGTCTTATTTATTATTGTGGCCTAAGTTTCCAAATTCATGTATTGATTTGTTGGGGACATACATGCCTAACTATAATTGGTGGGTGGTGTTGATCGGGAGTTTTGGTGCAATGAGGAGCCAAAGATTAGCTCATTCAACAGTAATTTTGATCTACCCCATAAACAGCTGTAAGTACTCAATTGATGTTTTCAAATCTTTTTGAATAATTTACGGTTTTAAGATTAGCTCATTCAATTGATTTAGTGCTATATATTTGTCATGACTGAAAGGGACATTCTAATTTTATAGAATTTTGGTTGAGTTTATTTGAATTTTTAATAATATTATGCATGGGTGTTTCAACGAGAATAGCCCAATGTGGAAGGACCACTGAGTATTTTGTTTTGCAAGCTGAGGTTGTAGATGTCTATTAAGCCTGACCATTACTTTCTTTCATGTTGTTAGTAAATTATGGCTTTATGTTCTCCAGGATTTTCAAGCATTGAAAATATCACGAGATGAATGACAAATATTTGATTGCTTAATGATAAAATTAGAAGCAAAATAGAATTTGAAATCTCAAGGCAGGTTTTGGGTCAATTCTATTCTTTGGTGTTTGAAATCCAAGTTTTATTGTATAAATTAACTAGAAACAAAGAAAGAAATAGAAGCTCAGTGAACAAACAATGAATAGGTGTTGATTTTCTGTACTTTGTCTAGCTTTGCTCAATAGCCTCAAATTCAGTCTATTATCAAATTTTGTTAGTTTGTGATTGTTTTCATTTCTTCATAGTTATGCTCAGTTTTTAAGAGGAATAGATGTTGATTGAAGTCAATTTGCATGTTGTTTCATTTTTTGTAATCAAATATGGTCATAGAATTTTTAAGAGGAATATGTGTTGATTGATCCAAGTATGCAGAATTTTTAGCTAGAATGATTTATATTTTTTAAACTACAATCAATGTGTCTTCAGTTTTCAGGTCATAAAATCCAAACCAACCATCAATTTGACATTCCAAACAGTGAATATTTGTGCCTAGTCAACAGGTTTAAGCTTAAAGTACTAATGTTTCTTCATCTTTTTCTTTGATTTTTATTATCCTTGTGTAGGTTTTGTTGCTAGAGCGCTGCTACTGCTGGAGGGCCAGATTTCAAGATTTAGCATAGTTAAATGGAGGTTTTATAAATTATTAGAAACACTGCAAATTGGCTTCTTCTTGCCTAATTGAATAATATTCACCTCTTTCTTGAATAATCAATGGGGTTTTACCTTACTAATGAACATGGTTATGTGACATATCATGCTATGCTTTTCTATTCTCCAGCTAAAAAAAAAATGTATCTCGTCATCTTCTTGTCATTTCCTTTCTTTCTCCCCCTCCCCCTTCTTCTTCTTCTTCTTCTTCTTCTTCTTCTGTAATTCAAATATAATTTGAGTTTTTATCTTTCTTTTCCAGAGTATTTGAAAAGTCACTACAGTATGTCAAGCACTCTAGCTGCTACAAGAATCAAGATTCTATCAGACAAGCTCGAGAGTATCCTTTAATTATATGAAAATATTGCAACTTTATTTCAATTTTTTGAACTGTAAATGACAAGGAGATGAGCACCTCCATTTTTTGCTTGGCATTTTCTTTATGGTATATTAGTTTTCTCAAAGATTGGATTGGACTGCTATAATTAATATTGCTAGTATAAAGAGACAATAGCTTAACCATTCCTCTCCATCCTGAATCTTGTAATCTTGGTTAATAAAGCTCTTACAGTCTCAGTACTTATTTACTTTCACCTGTGTGCTCTCATTCCCTACTAAATCTTCCTTGAATGATGATCTATCTCCATTTGCTTCTTTAGTTACTAGTTCCTTTGTTTTCTTTTTGCTATAGCTATTTTTTCCTTATCTTCTCTTTCACTTTTTTGCCTAATGATTCTTTTTTTTTTTTTTGGTTATTCCTTTGTTTTCATTTTGGCTTCCCTTTTTTCTATCTTAAGAGCTACAATCAGATTGTCAATCAAGTTTCAATATCCATTGAAACAGTCTTGGGCATTAATTTTTTTGCAACATTTGTAGGAGTCATATGGATATCCTCTGACAACAACACATTAATTCTGGCAAACAAATTATGTGATTCGAGATTAAGCTAGTTTTTCTTCTACTACTTGCTTATGATCTGTTATAGCTATAACTTTTGTGTAATCTTCATGTTAAATATAATTAAGTTTAGGTGAATGTTTTTCTTTGAACACTTATTAGTTATACTGTGTTTTTCTTTGAATGTTTTGGCCTCAGGTTTTGTGGATCTTGTAATCGAGTTAAGGTGACTCTTCAAAGGCCTTAGACAGGAATTGACGAGCAAGTATCTTCTACACATTGATATATATATATGTATACACGCATGTACACAATCACACATGTGGATGAGGTTAAAGGTGAGCCTACCGACAACCCATACTGGTCTTACGAGGTTGAGAGTGAACCTACTAAAAACTCAGACATGTTGTATTTGTTGTATGGGTTGTTGGTAGAGGTTGCGGGTGAACCTGCTGAAAACCCATGTATGTTGTTTTATTTATTGTAGCATTATTAAAAACCCATTTATGTTAAATGGAAATGCAACATCAAGAAAAAAGAAAAAGAAACATAACCAATTAAATATCTAATACATCTTCATAAGTCATAATAATATATGCATGGATATAGGACGGGACGCTCGGTTTGAAAACTGTGGAGACCCTAGTCTCAAATTTCATAAAATTGTACAAAATGGTCCAATAAAGAATAACTATTCTGTATTTTATTTTGTATTATAATTAAATCCTAGAACACCACTTTATAATTGGAAAAACCCTAACACTTGGCTTTTATTTATTTTACCTCCTAGTTTCTAAATTAATTCATACATTTTATTTATTTATTTATTTATTTATTTTAGCCTAGTTGCATATTTACTAATTCTTTGAATCTTTATTATTTATTTGAGAAAATAAATAGCCATAAACATCTTTAAATAAATATTTTTATTATTTATTTTATTTTTTATTTGAGCAAATTAGTGGAAAAAAATATCTAGATATTTATAAGTTGCTTAGTCATTAAGTCAAAAGGGTAGAATGGTCCTTTCAACCCAATTCATGGCCTATAAAATTGAGAAGCATTGTCTCAACTCCTGTCTCACGTTTTTAGCAGCTCAAGGAGAAGGTGAGAGACGGAGAGGGTGATCAAGGGAAGTAGAGAAAAAAAAAAAAAGAAGAAGAAGAAAAAGAAGGAAAAGTGATTCAAGAAGGTAAGAACACCTCTTCCTCTTGTCTTCTCCAATTCTTTCACCATCCCATCCTATTTTTTAGATGCCCTCTTGTTTTCCATATTAATGGGAAATAGAGCATTTGGTGTATATAAAAGTGTGGGTTTGAGTTAGTGACATTGTCTTGCAAATCTGTCAAATTAGGCACTACTGTAACTTCTCAAATTTAAAAGAAATATCAAATTTATTTATTAATCAAATCTAAATTTAGTGTACGCTATTTGGTGTGTTTAGAGCTTATGATAATTTTATTAGCCCCTAATTGTATGTTTTTAGGGCTTGGATATTTTGTTTAAAAATCTGGTCCTAAATCTCTGAAAAACAGTCCACTTCTTGTAATTTTATAAAATTTCAAAAAAATCATCTCAGGTTGGTTATTTTATAAACATTTAGGATTTTGAGTCCTCTTTTCAATGGAATTTATTTGGGTGAAAAGCATTGGGTAGATTGAGAGGAAAGCTAGTTTTCCCAAAGGATGACAAATCTAGACAGGTTTTCGAATATAGCTTGTAGATGAATTTCTGGAGGTGATGTGCGAATTCTGAGAATTGGAATTGAAACTAGACTGGTTAATTATTATTTATGTGCAATTTCAGCCCCTAATTTAACCTAGAAGTATTTTTCCCAAAGTACTCTTGTTAGCCCTGCAGAATCGAACAGTGCTGGAAATGGTGTTTTGTTGTGTTATTTGTCTCTAAGTGTTTCAAAGCATTCCTAATGTTATTTGCTTGCCTTACCATACCTATGTATGACTATCATGAGCTAGATTTCCTTTCTTATGTTTGTCTCATGGTCTTTTATATTACCGAATCACCAAATGTGACTAACTTGCTTGGCAAAAGATCTAATAAATGGGAAATGGAAAGGGGTTGGTAATGGGTGACGTTCACCCTTGTGCTTCAAAATGATTTATGTAATATATATGTGAATGATATTAAAACCAAATGAGTTAAGTCTTGCGCAAGCGGTCTAAGTGAGCCCCAAGGTTGACACGGAAGTGTTAAGACTCGATGCAGTGGTTTCAGGGTGTAAGCGAGCCCTTTGGTATGGCATGTGCAGGGTGTAAGCGAGCCCTTTGGCGTGGCATGTGCAAGGTGTAAGCGATCCCTTTGGTATGGCATGTGCAGAGTGTAAGCGAGCCCTAGGCACGATTTGGGTGTAAGTAAGCCCACTTGTTTGGCTGTCCCTTTTGAGGTCCATCAATGTCACTGACCGGTAAACAACCGGAAGGTGGGCATAGGTGGTAAGGTCTGCAAAGCAGCAAAAGGGGGAGTTCTGAATAGTCTAGTGTTCAATCCTTGTGGTTGGGTAGAAGGATCTCTTTGGGGCATTCTAGATGTCTAGTCTAACTACTAATTTATAGAACTATTGTATGTTATGTTACCCAATTTGTTCTGTGTATGGTTGATTGGTTGATAGAAGATATGGGGGTGTGTGTGTTTTTACTGGGCATTCCAAGCTCATGGCGTGTCATGCTAGGTGATGAAGCAGTTTACAATGGTGAAGGTTATTTCGAAGGCAAATAAGATGAAGTGTTGGAGCTATGGTTCATTTGAAGACATAGACTAGTTGTTTTTTTCCTTTTGACTTTTGGTTTGGCAATGTTTTGGTAATCCTGTAGTGGAACATAAACAAATTATCTGTGATTTTAACTCTGGTTATATATGTATATTAAGATGTTTTGGTTATCTATCCTACTTGTGTTGTATTATTGTATGTATTTAATGGCCTGGAAGTTGGGGCGTTACAGAATGGTATCAGAGCTTAGGTTCAATCCTTACCCACGCATTTCGACTTCAAGCGATTTGATGATCACCTACGAAGGGAAGTAGTTTTGACTTTGAATAGGGCAACGTGTTGAACATTAGATACAATATAGAAGTAGGGGTCTATGAGTCTTCTATTGATCGTCATATCCTCATTTCATATTTGTAACCTTGTTTGATGTCGTTCACTTCAAGATTAAGTCATTACCATCTGGTCTTACTTTATATTTTTCAATTATACCATTTGCAACCTTGAGCCTTGATTATGCCATCTTGTTCGAGAATTTTTTATAAAAATTGCAATTTCTTTATTCGATGACGAATCTTGGATATTCAGTTTGAAACACGGATGACCAACGCAGTTTCAAGTTAAATATCTAACTTAGTCACTATATCTATGACCTTGACCACATAAAAGTCGTAAATCGTAATCCATCCGTATTTCAGATAATCCTTACATTAATTGATGCAATTACTATAATATTCTTTCATCTCCACATCGTATTCCTTTTATTAATCCAATTTTCACAGTCTTGTAGTTGTTGTTTTGCCTATATATATATATATGTGTGTGTGTGTGTGTGTGTGTGTGTGTGTGTGTGTGTGTGAAGTTGTGTTGTGTGCTCCCCTATATTTGTTATTTACTACTTGATCTTATTATTTTAAACACCGTAGGATAATTAAACCATAACTTTAAGATTAGTTGATTACCCTTGAGAATTGCCTCCATAATTAGACTCCAACTTATGCCTCACCCTATACTACGAGCAGAAAGAAAAAAAAAAATAGTGAACCACACTCGAGCCAACGGTTACACCTAGACAAGCGATAACACACGAGCTCGCAAGCAATAAAGCAATAAGAATGAAGTATCATGTAATGGAAATCCCGAGAATGGACCAATACCCGTGCCTGAAATCTTGAGTAGCATTGGAAACGAGATTCTAGAAGAATTGGGTCAATTGAGAGGGAAAATGCAAGAAAGTTCAAATGGGAGCTAGACCCTACGATCAAAGGAAGAGGACGAAGACCCGTTAGTAATTAGAGGTAACATCGTACACTATAATTCTTGGGTTCACGCTCTATTCGATTATGGCGCACCATTTTTTTTTAAAATAAAAACATCATGTGTTAAATCGTTAGGTCTTACATGTAAAGCTTTAAAAACTACTTGAAGTATCGCATCACCTTTGGGAGGAAGTGTCAGTGCGAATTAGAAGTGTCAGGTTTACAATTGATTTGCGACCTTGTGGTCAGGACATAATCTTAGGTATGGAATGGCTATCTGCCCACTGAGCGGTGATTGATTGCTACCAGAAGAGGGTGACGACTTACACACCTGATGGGAGGTGTTTCCAATTTAAGGGGGGTAGAGAGAAGAGTCTGAGCACGACAATGCAGTAGTATAATCAACTTGTTGCGAGTTCTGGTTGAAAGAAGTCAAATATTTGGGGCACGTTGTGTCTGAGCACAAGATTGCAGTAGACCCGGCCAAGGTAGAAGCAGTATTAGATTGGAGCGAGACGTAGGATATACGGTATATTGCGATGTGTCTAAGGATGGGTTAGGCTATGTGTTAATGCAAAAAGGGACGGTGGTGGCTTACGGCTCCAGGTAACTAAAACCGCATGAAAGGAATTATCTGACACACGATCTAGAGTTGACAGTGACGCTTTTTGCATTAAAGCAATGGCGTCATTATTTGTATGGTGAATAATTTGAGATTTTCACGGATCATAAGAGCTTGAAGTATTTGTTCACACAGAAGAACATGAAGATAAGACAAAGACGGTGGATGGAATATCTCGAACATTACCATTTTACTGTATCTTATTATCCTAGCAAAGCTAATGTGGTGGCAGATGCCCTAAGTTACAAGAACCAGGGGATTATTGTTAGCCTGGCACTCAAGGAATGGAACATGGTCAGAACACTTAATGAGTTTGGAATACATATGAAAGCCTAGGACGATAAGGTATACATTGGTGCTCAAATCGTTACGCCCAAATTACTGAATGAGGTAATAGAGTCACAAAAGTATGATCAGGAGGCGGCATGTATAAAAGCACGAATAGCATCCGGCGATCCTATACCTAATTGGACAATTCACTCGGATGGAAGTTTGAGACATCAAGGCAGTGTGTTTGTGCCATAAGATGAGTCGCTTAGAGAAAAAGTTCTGAAAAAGTTCCATCATTTGTTGTTTGTAGTGCACACAGGAGGGACAAAAGTGTACCAAGACTTAAAACACCAATATTGGTGGAACAGAATAAAGAAACTACAGAAAATGTGAAACTTATTCAACAAAGATTAGTGGAAACTCAAGATCGTCAGAAGAGTTATGCAGATAAAGAAGACCTCTAACTTACATTATCGATGATGTTGTCTTGAAAATTCAGCCCTGCCAAGGTATCATTCGTTTTGGAAAGAAAGGAAAATTATCACCTCGATATATCGAACCTTTCGAGATACTTCAGAAAATTAGAGAGGTTGCATACAAATCGGTTCTACCCTTGCAATTGGTTGGAGTACATGATGTTTTCCACATATCTATGATGCGAAAGTACATTATTCACCATTCTCACATCATCAGCTGGGAAGAAATTCAACTCAACGAAGACGCTACCTTCGAGGAGGGACCAATAGCAATTATGGACAGACAATTCAACCTCTTAAGATACT